CCCCCCCCCCCCCCGGTCTCTTTCTGGTGAGTGCATGTATGCTGTAGGAAATTTTTTTTAAAATATATGATTTGCATTGTTACCTATTGTCGTATGTCTTGTTGCTAGCTTGGGGGTGAGATTATGCTGTTGTCATAGTCTACTTTTATTTCTAGGCAGTAAAATATTTGGACAGTTTGGCAGGTCTATATAGTTTTGTAATGCAAGTGAATCTTTGCCTGATATTCTTGAATATGAATTATCAATTAGTTCTTGCTGAACATTTCTCTTACTCAAACTAGGAAGTAGTGGGCTAGCTCTGTGGTACAGTGGTAATGCGCCATTCAAGAGAGGTCGGATCCCACATGGCGACCATGGCTCAAATCCCCAGCTGGGTCAGCCAAAACACCTTGGGTACGCACATGAGTGCCCAAGATCTGACAGGCTGGTAGACTAGAGGAAGAGTATCATGGTGTGACCCATGGGGGGGGGGTGCTTTTCTCTCTCTCAGTGCACGCACATACACACAGTATCATGAATAAAGGGTGGAAAAGTAGTGAGTAGGTTTCCATATTTCCAAATAATCTAAGTTTCTAATGTCAAGAAAGAACTTCTTGAGTGCTAATTTGAAAACGGAGTACTAGGGCCAGCCAGCAGTATGGTGGTTAAGGTGGCTGGATACCATGGTAGGTTGAAAATCATGCCAGGCACTTGTGTATGTGTGCCCCAAATCCTGAGAGGATAATGGAGGAGAAGGGGTTGCTGCATGGCCATCCTCCTGGGAGTTGCTTTCTCAATTTCTTGCTCTATTTCTTGTCTCTGGTGAGCATATGGACCTATAGCAAATTAAAAACAAACAAACAAACAAACAAAAACAACAAAATGAGGTCCCATAGGAAGATGGAGGCTAAGCTTTTTGTTCATTGGGACAGTAATTGCTGATGTGTAAAAACATTTTTTTGGGGGGGGGGAGTTTTTGCTCTAGGCCATGTGCACTCGCCAGAAAGACAGAGAGAGACAGAGAGACAGAAAGAGAGAAATCACCCCTCGGAGGGCTGGCCACGCTGCAATCCCTTCTCCTCCATTCACCCCTCGGGATCTTGGGTATGCACCCACACGTGCCTGGCATGAATTTAAGCGACTGGGCCCACGACTCGAATCGTGATCAACTACATGGGAGTCCAGCGACATAGCCATTATGCCAACTGCTGGTCCTTTAATCAAATTTTGCATTGAATTCATAGATTTGGATTCTTTTTGCCAGAGAGCAGGAGATGGAGAGATAGAAAGCGAGAAATCACCCCACAAGGGGGTTGGCCATGCCATAATCCCTTCTCCCCCATTCTCCTCTTGGGGTTTTGAGTACACATGCACACACATGCACCTGGCATGAATATTAAGCCTCTGGGTCTGGGACTCAAACCTCAGTCAACTTCATGGGGATCTGGGGACATAATCATTATGCCATCTGCTGGTCTCTAGATTTGGATTCTTTAAGTTTATGTTTCTTTTTTATTTTTATTTTTTCAGAAGTTCTCATCTTAGGGTACATGCACTCACCAGAGAGAGAGAGAGACAGTGAGAGGAAAAGTGAGAAATCACCTCCTCCACCCCGGGAGATGAGCATGCTGCAGTCCCTTCTCCTCCACTCTCCTCCTGGGATCTTGGGCATGCATGCACATGTGCCTGGCGTGAGTTTCAAGCCACCGGGTCCAGGACTCAAACCGCAGTCACCCATGTGGGTATCCAGCGACATAACCACTACTCTATCTGCTGGCCCATTTAAGTTTATGTTTTTATGAAAAGATTTTATGGCATTAAAAGTATAATTGACTATGTTTATATGAATTTGAAAAGTTCTTCCTGAAAAGATAGAGAAATGGAGAAGGAATTGTAGTGTGACCATGCCCCTTTGGAAAGTTCATTATCTATCTGTCCGTCTCTCTCTCTCTGGCAAATGTATGTGCCCTCTGGGGGGAAAAAAAAGTAAGAAAGAAAGAAAGAATTGAGCTGGCTTTATGACCCAGTGGTTAAGGCAGCCAGATCTCACACGCCTGACCACGCAGTTAGAGACCTCGACCAGGCAGCTTGAGAAACACATTGGGCATATATGCATGTGTCCCAAATCCCCAAAGGAGGAAGAGATAGAGAAGGGATTGTGGGCTATGACTATCCATGGGGTACTTTTTCCTCTCTCTCTCTCTCTCTCTCTCTCTCTCTCTCTCTCTCTCTGTTGAACACAATACTCTCTAGCAAAAAATAAAATAAATAAAAGAGTAAGTAGTACTTCATTTCCAGGCAATGAAATGTTATTTTGTATCTCTGTCTCTCTTAGAGTACAGCAAAATGGATATACCAAATCCCCCAACTTCCAAATGTATCACTTATTGGAAAAGAAAAGTGAAATCTGAATATATGCGACTTCGACAACTTAAGCGGCTTCAGGCAAATATGGGTGCAAAGGTAAAAAATGATTGCTGGGGCCAGCAGGTGGCATGGTTTTTAAAGCACTGGATTCCCACATGGATGACCACTGTTTGAGTCCCAGACCTTGGGGTTTGCTTTCTCACTTTTTCTCCTCTCTCTCTCTGTCTCTCTCTGGTGAGTACATGTGTCCTATAGCAAATTAAAAAATAATAATAAAAAATAATGATTCTAAAAAAGAAAATCTTTGTTTAAAAGAAAATGATTCCCAAGAAGGAGCATGTATTTCAACATATTGATCTAATGTGGAGGGGCTGGAAGTTTTATTTAAAGCTTGTTTTGAAATTGTAACAATATTTTCCTTGGCTTTTCTAGGCCCTGTATGTGGCAAATTTTGCAAAGGTTCAAGAAAAAACCCAGATCCTCAATGAGGAATGGAAGAAGCTTCGTGTCCAACCTGTTCAGTCCATGAAGCCTGTGAGTGGGCATCCTTTTCTGAAAAAGGTACTTCTGGAAGTCTAAGCTCAGCCTTCCTATCTTTCTTAGACTTAAGGTTTTTTTCTGTATCTGTGAATTGTTATAAAATATTAAGGATAGAGACCAGCAGTTGGCATAATGGTTGTCACCGGACTCCTATGTAGTCAACCATTGTTCGAGTCCTGGACTTGGTGGCTTAAGTTCATGCTGGGCTCGTGTGCATACATGTCCAAGACCCTGAGATGGGAATGAAGGAAAAGAGATTGTGGCATGACCAACTTCCTGGGGGGTGATTTCTTGCTTTCTGTCTCTCTGTCTCTCTCTGTCTGGCGAGTGCACGCGCTCTGTAGAAAAAAACCTCTCCAAAATTAAAAAAAAAAAAAGAAAAAAAAATAGAGTAGTAAACCTGTAGCTTAAAGAATAACCTTTCTGGGACCAGCAGTTGGCATAATGACTATGTCGCTGGACTCCCATGAAATCGACTGCAGTTCAAATCCCAGACCCTGTGGCTTAAACTCAATGCTGGGCGCATGTGCATGCATGTCCAAGATCCCCAGAGGAGATCCAAAAAAAATAATAATAATAACCTTTCCACCTATCCTCTTTCTCTGTTGGTGATGAATTTCTCAGTATAATGATTAATTTTTTTTTTTGGAAGAGAGGTTTTTGCTCTCAAAAAGAAAAAAAACTGACACTACAATGGAAAGTTATTTTCTTTCTTTCTTTCTTTCTTTCTTTCTTCTTTTTTTTTTTTTGAGAGGTTTTTGCTATAGGGTGCACGCACTTGCCAGACAGGCAGAGAGAGACAGAGACACATAAAGCAGGAGATCATCACCTCCCAAGGGGAATGGCCATGCCGCAGTCCCTTCTCCTTCTCCTCCATTCTCCTCTCAGGATCTTGGACACACACCCACACGTGCCTAGCATGAGTTTAAGCCACCAGGTCCAGGACTTGAACCGTGGTCAACTACATGGAAATCTAGCAATGTAGCCATTACACCATCTGCTGGTCTCTTACTGTAAATTTTTTTTTTTTTTTGGGGAGAGGTTTTTGCTATAGGGCACGTGCGCTCGCCAGACAGACAGAGAGAGACATAGAGACAGAAAGTAAGAAATCACCCCCCGGGGGGATGGTCACGCCACAATCCCTTCTCCTCCATTCTCCTCTCGGGATCTTGGGCACACACGCACGCACACACACCCAGCGTGAGTTTTAAGTCACCGGGTCCAGGATGCGAACCGCAGTCGACTACGTGGGAGTCCAGTGACATAGCCATTACGCTTAACTGCTGGTTCCCACTCTGCATGAGTTTTAAGCACTGGGTCCAGGACTTGATCCACAGTCAACTACATGGGAGTCCAGCAATATTATAACTATTACCCCGTCTGGTGTTCCCAGAGATAATAATATTCTTAAAATAGAAAACAAAATAGTATAAGGAGAGCAGTTATCATTCCAAGCAGACTGTAACTGTAATTTTCATACCACTTTGCTATTTACCCCATGTACTGTCCCTGTCACCTATGCAGCTAAGTCATTGTCCACTGTCTTATGGTTTAGATCTTCAGGAAGATTTCCCCATCTTTTGTTTTTTTGAAGAATTATTTCTTTTAAATTTATTTCTTATTATTAATACTTTTTTCTTTTTTTTAATTCACCAGAGAGGGACAGAGAAAAAGAAAGTGAGAAGTAAGCTGCCAGGTCCAAGGCTCAAACCATGGTTGGCCATGTGAGAGTCCAGTGCCTTAGCTACCACACTGGCTTCACACTTTCCCATCTTTAAAACGTTTTTAAAGAATTATTTTATTTAGCTTTATTTATTTATTTTAATTTGACCAGAGAAGGACAGCAAGAGTGCGAGAGAGAGGGAAAGTGAGAAAGCAAGCCACCAGGTCTGGGACCTGAACCGCAGGCAGCCATGTGGGAGTTCAGTGCCCTTAACCACCATGCCACCTGCCGGCCCCCGAACTTCCTCATCTTTATCGCCACTTTATAGGACATGCAGAGGCCCTTTACTCTTGGGTACATCCTAAGGAGACACACAGTTTTTGTTGAAACATCAGTTGAGTATAGGACCACTTTACTGAACAGAAGACACAAAGATGAATAAGAGACAATTCCTGCTCTTCAATAGTTTGCAGCCTGATGTTTCCTTTTAGGAGCTGTTCCTTCAAAACCAACAGCCGATTAACTTTTTTTAAAAAAATTTATTTATTCATTTGTTTTTGTTTTGTTTTGTTTTGTTTTAATTTGACCAGAGAGAGAGAGAGAGACACAGAAGGAAAGTGAGAAAGCAAGCCACCAAGTCCAGGACTTGAACCATGGTCAGCCACGTGAAAGTGTCCAGTGCCTTAACCACCAAGCCACCTGCTGGTCCCCTAACTTTTTTTTTTTAAGAGAGATTTTTGCGAAGCTGGCAGGTGGCATGGTTGGAGCACTGGATTCCCACATGGCCGACTACGGTTTGAGTCCCAGACATAGTGGCTTGCTTTCTCACCTTCTCTCTCTCTCTCTCTGCCGCTCTTTGGTCAAAATTTTAAAAATTAGGGGACCAGAAGTTAGCATAATGGCTATGTCGCTGAATTCCCATGTAGTCTACCACGGTTTAAATCCTGGACCCGGTGACTTAAACTCATGCCAGGTACATGTGCATGCGTGTCCAAGATCCTAGGAGGAGAAAGGAAGAGAAGGGATTGCAGCATGGCCATCCCCCCGGGGGGTGATTTCTTGCTTTCTGTCTCTCTGTCTCTCTCTGTCTTTCTGGCGAGTGCATGCGCTCTATAGCAAAAACCTCTCCAAAAAATAAATAAATAAAAATAAAAGATTAAAAAAAATAATAATGATGATTAATGAAATTAAATAATTTCTTAAAAAAAAGAGAGATTTTTGCTATAGGGTGCATGCACTCACCAGAGAGACAGAAAGTGAAAAATCACCGCTCTAAGGGTGATGGCCACACCACAGTTCCTTCTCCTCCATTCTCCTCTTAGGATTCGGTCATGCTCATACACACGCCCAGCAGAATTTTAAGTTGCCAGTTATGGGACTCAAACCACAGTAAACTACATGGGAATCCAGCGATGTAATCATTAGGCCATCTGCTGGTCCCTAGCTAATGAACTTTTGAGAATTAGAAACCGGGGGCCAGCAGGTGAATTAGTGGTTAAGGCACTGGACTTCCGCATAGCTGGTTGTGGTTCAAGTCCCAGACCTGAGGCTCAAAACTCATGCCAGGTGCATGTGCATGTGTGCCCATAAAGGGAATGGAGAAGAGATTGGGGCAAGGTCATCTCCCCTGAGGGTGGTTTTCACTTTCCCTCTGTCTCTCCAGCAAGCACACACACCCTATAGCAAAAATCTCTTTTGGGTTAGCAGGAGGTATGGAGTTTAATACACTAGATCCCACATAGCCAGCTGCATGGTTTGAGTTCACCCATGTGTGAGTGCTTGCCCAAAATCCTGAGAGAGAGTGGAGAAGGGATTGTAGCGTGGCCATGCGCCCTGGGTTGTAATTTCTCACTTTTTGTCTCTGTCTCTCCAATGAATGCACATGCCCTATAGCAAAAATCTCTCAAAAAAAGAGAACTCTCTTTTTAATAAACTATTTTGGGGAACAGCAGGTGGCATGGTGGTTAAGGTGCTGGACACTCCCTCACGGCCAACCACGGTTCAAATCCTGGATCTGGGACCAGCAGTTAGTGTAATGACTATGTCGCTGGACTCCCATATAGTCGACCACAGTTCGAGTCCTGGACCCAGTGGCTTAAACTCAAGCCAGGCACGTGTGCATGCATGCCCAAGATCCCGAGAGGAGAATGGAGGAGAAGGGATTGTGGTGTGGCCATCCCCCCTGGGGGGTGATTTCTCACTTTCTGTCTCTCTGTCTCTATCTTTCTGGCTAGCGCATGTGCCCTATAGCAAAAACCTCTCCGAAAAAAAAAAAAATCCTGAATCTGGTGGCTTGCTTTCTTACTTTCTCTCTCTGTATCTCTCTCTGGTCAAATTGGGGAAAAAAATAAATGAATGAATAAATAAAACTAGATAAATAATTTAAAATTTTTATTATTTAACTTTATTTATTTATTTATATATTTTAAATTTGGCCAGAGAGGGATAGAATGATAGAGTAAGTGAGACAGCAAGCCACCAGGTCTGGGACTAGAACCATGGTTGACCACGTGGGAGTTTAGCACCTTTAACCACCACGCTACCTGCTGGTCCCCAAAAATCTCCCTTAAAAACAAAAAAACACTCTTTAAAAAATAAAAGAATTAGAAACCTACTTGGATTGTTTAGGAAGGACACTACAATTCTCTCTTGGTTTGTGTGCTTGCCTTTCTCTTCTCCATGTCATTGCTTGTATTTCAGTGTACCATAGAGAGCATTTTCCCGGGATTTGCAAGCCAGCATATGTTGATGAGGTCTCTGAACACAGTTGCGTTGGTTCCCATCATGTATTCCTGGTCCCCTCTGCAGCAGAACTTTATGGTATGTATTTAAAGCACTGTGGTGGTGGTTTAGACTGTGTGATTATCTTACGCTGATATTTTAGAGCTCCTCTTAGGTAAAGATTGTCAGAGTACTTAACAAAAGTTTAACATACAGGGCAGACATTACTATAATTTACTTTAAAAATATCAGGGACCAGCAGGTAGTGTGGTGGTTAAGGCGCTGGACACTCCCACATGGCTGACCACGGTTTAAATCCTGGACCTGAATTGCTTCCTCACTTTCTGTCTCTCTCTTTCTGTGTGTCTCTATCTGGTCAAATTAAAGTAAATGAATGATGGGACCAGTAGTTAGCATAGTGGCTATGTCACTGAACTCCCATGTAGTCGACTGTGGTTCGAGTCCCGGACCTGGTGGTTTAAACTCAAGCTGGGCATATGTGCATGCGTGCCCAAGATTCCGAGAGGAGAATGGAGAAGGGATTGTGGCATGGCCATCCCCTCTGGGGGGTGATTTCTTGCTTTCTGTCTCTCTGTCTCTCTCTGTCTTTCTGGCGAGCACACATGCCCTATAGCATAAACCTCTTTTTTTACAGGGACCAGCAGATGGTATAATGGTTACATTGCTGGACTACTATGCAATCAACCACGGTTTGAGTCCTGGACCTGGCAACTTAAAACTCATGCCAGGTGCATGTGTGTCCGTGCTCAAAGTCCTGAGAGGAGAATGGAGGAGAAGGGATTGTAGCATGATCATCCCCCCTAGGGGGTGATTTCTCACTTTCTGTCTGTCTGTCTCTCCAGTGAGCACACGTGCCCTATAGCAAAAATCTCTTTAAACAAATTATATATATACATACATGTATATATGTCTGTCTGTACATATATATATTTATGTGTGTGTGTGTGTATATTACAGGTAGTTCTAATCTGTTAGATATTGTGCTCGCATAAGTGTACTTCTTTTCTTTAAAACTTATTTAATCTTATTTATTAATTCACCCCATTTTAATTTGACTGGGAGTGGGGAGAGAGAGGGAAAGTGAGAAAGCAAGCAACTAGGTCCAGGACTGAACTGTGGTCAGCCATGGGAGAGTGTCCAGTGCCTTAACCACCCGCCACCTGCTGGTCCCTGAAGTGTACTTCTTAATTGATGCTGGGGATGTTGTTTATTTTTTTGAATGACAAGAGTCCAGTGTTCTCTTACTACCTTGGCCCAATTTGGTAGCATTATGTGCAGTTAAACACAATCTAAATCAGACTCGAGAGGCTTAAGCAGGTTAGTGCTCTGCTGATGGCACTCTCCTTTCTGAATCCTCGAGATGCAAGGTAAAATGAAAGCAACTGAGATACCAGATGTGCTCGTGGGTACAGTCCTTTCATCTGGGCCTCCATGCTGATTCCTCCTGGGATTATTTGTGGTTTTGCTAATTAATTAGTCCTGCCTGAATACTGCCATTACTGTCATATGCCTGGTGACAGATAAACATACTGCTGTTTAAAATAGGATATAGATATATAGAAAGTAATTATCTCATTTTTCTTGATACTTGAGGATTTAAGAATGACTATGGAGGGCAGCAGGTGGCATGGTAGTTAAGGTGCTGAACTCCCAGAGGCTTAAAAAATCAGTGCCCATTTGTGCCCAAAATCCCAAGAGGAGAATGAAGGAGAAGGGATTGCTGCTTGGCTATCTCCCCTTCCATACCCCAACCGGAGATGATTTCTCACTCTGTCTGGCAAGAGCATGTGCCCTGCAGCAAAAACCTAAAATGAACAAAAAAAGAATGTCAATATTTTCTGCTGAGCAAGCACACAACCCCCCCCCAAATATTTTAGTATATTTTGTTTATTGCCAGAAAATATCTGTAGCCTATACTGTGACTGAGTTTAAGTTTCTATTGAGGATGATTAGCATGAATTGTAATAATAATTTTTTATTATTGGAGAGTATTAGTCTTTTTTTTTCTTTATAGAGTTTTTTGCTATAGGGTGCGTGTGTTTGCCGGAAAGACAGAGAGACAGAGAGACAGAAAGCGAGAAATCACCCCCCAGGGCAGATGACCACGCCACAATCCCTTCTCCTCTTGGGATCTCGGGCATGCATGTACATGCCTGGCGTGAGTTTAAGCCAGTGGCTCCGGGACTCGAAGTGCGGTCGATTACATGGGAGTCCAGCAACATAGCCATTACACCATCTGCTAGTCCTGAGTATTAATCTTTTTTATAAAATATCCAAAAGTATTATGGTTTCTCAGTTTCTCTTCTACTTATATTGTAGATCATGCCTTTGGAGGCCTTCTTTCTCACTTATCTATCTCTCTACTTATGACAGAATTGAAGAGGGTTTTTTGTTGTTTTGTTTTGTTTTTTTTTGGAGAGGTTTTCGCTATAGGGCGCGTGCGCTCGTCAGACAGACAGAGAGAGACATAGAGACAGAAAGCGAGAAATCACCCCCCAGGGGGGATGGTCACGCCGCAATCCCTTCTCCTCCATTCTCCTCTTGGGATCTTGGGCACGCACGCACACGCGCCCGGTGTGAGTTTTAAGCCACCGGGTCCGGGACGCGAACCGCAGTTGACTACATGGGAGTCCAGCGACATAGCCATTACACTAACTGCTTGTTCCCTTGTTTTGTTTTGTTTTAACGAGAGAGAGAACACAGGAGGGAGGTAAGGGAGGGAGAGAAAGAGAGAGAGGTAAGTGTTTCCAGCAGGGTCTCGCCATGTTCCCGTCCTGCCCCAGCCTCCTAGCCAGCTAGGCCCACGTGTGTACCACTGCCCCAGCCTGTTTAGGTTGTTTGGGGAACGAGATCCAGGCCTATCGTGCAGGCTCAGCCTCCGCCCTCAGTATTGCCCTTCTTCTTGTACCACCATGGCTGGGCCCGAGAACTTTTCTTTTTCCTGAGACCTTTTCAACTGTTGTTTGGATGATGTCTGCGCCTATTTCACGAAGATATTTAGTTGATAAAATTAAATAATAGATGGCAGCACTGTGAAAAATAAGTGTGTTCTCAAATTCTCAGTGCTAGAAATACTGCTGTATCAGGACCAGCAGTTGGTGTAACGGCTATGTTGCTGGACTCCCATGTAGTTGACTACGGTTCGAGTCCCGGATCCAGTGGCTTAAACTCATGCTGGTCATGGGTGCGTGCCCAAGATCTTGAGAGGAGAATGGAGGAGAAAGGATTGCAGTGTGGCCATCCTCCCTGGGGAATGATTTCTTGCTTTCTGTCTCTGTCTCTCTTTGTCTTTCTGGTGAGTGTACACCCCCTATAGTGAAAACCTCTAAAAAAAAAAAAAAAAAGGCAGAATACTCTGACCAAAGGCATTTTAAAAAATAAATATATATTTTAATTTTATTTATCTTTATTATTTTTTAATTTGACCAGAAAGTGATAGAGTAAGAGAGAGAGAGGGAAAGTAAAAAAGTAAGCCACCAGGTCTGGGACTTGAACCTTGATCGGCTATGTGAGAGTCTAGTGCCTTAACCATCGTGCCACCTGCTGGCCCCCAAGGGCATTTTCAAGAGACCAAAGAAGCAAAAAATGTTTAACAAAGAGTCCATTGAACAGGAAAGAGGACACTCATAGTGGTATTGGAATGAATCACATCTGGTTTGATTTCAGGTAGAAGATGAGACCGTTTTGTGCAATATTCCCTACATGGGGGATGAGGTGAAAGAAGAAGATGAGACTTTCATTGAGGAGCTAATCAATAACTATGATGGGAAAGTCCACGGTGAAGAAGGTAGTGGTGCTGTGCTCTTTGGGATAAAACCTTTTTGGAAATGCCTCTTCTTTGGTACCTTATCATCTTGTTTCTGCCCTCTGGGGTTCACTCCAAAGGATATTTCAATATTATCACATGACTGGGAGTTAAAATTTTATATTAGAAACACCTCAGTTGGTCCATGACCTGGTGATCAAGGCAGCTGGATCCTATAAGGCTGACCACACAGTTCGAGTCTCAGAGCTGGTGACTTGAGAAACATGGAGGGCACTTATGCATGCATGCCCAAAACCTAAATGAAGGGAAA